AGAACAGAATTTAACATTTACATTAACAGTCGTTCGTGTTTGTCACTGCAACAGGTTTTCTGTTATTGAAGGTGTAAATAAAATACCACTCTATGCAGGCATGGACCCCCTCCACCCCCTCCTCCAGGCCATCCCGGCTTCAGAGGGCGTCCACCACACCCTCGAGTCCGCGGCATGCCGCCCCCTGGACCTCCACGGCACTTCCACCCCCGTGGCCCAAGAGGGTAAGAGGTGTTTCAGTACTAATATCACGCTTCAGCTTTAAAAGTCACAATTCTCTGCGTTTTGCTTGCACGCTGTTCAGATTCCTAAATGAGCTCATACACACCTGGTCAGCTGCTTCCGCCAGGTGTGTTCCTGAGCATCTCTAGCGCTCTGAGGGTTGTGACATTAATGCCCAGTCCTTTCACTCCTTCTCTCTGAAGCCTCCTTTAGCTTAATTTTCTTTACTTGGACTTGCACTTTATAGCCACACATATTTCTTATTGTTTGTCAAACAGGAACAAACCGATGTGCAGCATTTTGCCTCATAGTTCATCTCACTGCAGCAGATGTTCAGTCAGACTCTGTCCAGTCGGCACTTCCTGCTCAGCTTCTTATAGCTAGACTCCTAAATAGTGCATGGATGATGAAAACGACATGACGCTGTTTAGCCTTTCAGAGGAACACAGTTAGCTGAGAGGGGATCACAGCCCTCACTGCAGTGGCTCAGATGGCTGCTCTTATCAGAGTGTGCCCCCTATTGGCCAAAGCCCAGAATCCAATGTGTGATTTTATCCTTTTACACAGCTACCACAATGGACCGGTCTCTCCTCCGCCTCACCCCCCACCTGGCAGAGGCCAGAGGTGGCCAGGGCCCCCTGGTGGCCGACGCTTTTAACACAGCCTGCCCTAAAAACTATAACCGATCACTTGTTAATGTAGACGGGGTCTAAAGTGGTGCAGCGAATGAAATGGCCCTGAATCATGTGTTATACAAAGTCTCTGAGTATCTGTTGAGTATCTTTAAAATACTGGCCAGATGTTTGGTTCTGGGTTCTGTCTACTGGCAAAGACGTATTGTGATAATCACTAATGACAACTGAGGACACATAAAATGACTCACAACTTAACAATGTAATGGCATTCTCACCCAATGTTTCCAGTAAACACTGTTGGTACTGTAGAGACTATTTGACATTGTTCAGAAAAAAAAATAAATGTTAAAACAAGGTTGAAGTCACTGTTCTCAAAGGGAGGAACGTTACTGTTGATTAAATGTTCTGTGGTTCTTGTTCCAGTCACCCTGTGAGCCTTAAGACATTCTCCTGAGTTCTAATAAAGATTTAAACCCCGGGTGAGGCTGTATGTCTGACGGTGGGGCAAGAGGAGAACAATAATGTAAAGGTGCACAGTTGGTTAGCTTAGCACGCCGTGGACCTCCCTGAGCTCTCCCACTGTTACATGGACGTAGTTCTGTTTGATAACCTCACATAACAGTGCAGCAGATATTGTTTAACACTTCCACCGGTTTTCAACTGATAAGACAATATATCTAACTTGTCAAGTATTCATGAGTATTTAATTTTATATCTTTAATGTGCAGCTATTTTAAGTTTTGAATATTGCTGTTTGGAACATTCATGTTTGTCTCCAGCAACCTATTGTGTAACGACAAAAAGGCATTATAAATGAATAGTATGCCAAAATATATACATCTATTTATATATATATAGTAGCTATTAATGAGAGCAAACCATCCTTATCTGCTTCAGTCAGGACAGGACTTTACTCTCTACTGTGTTTAGTTCTTTTTGAAGTGTCACTTCTCTCTTCACTGTAATTAACATAACTTCTGTGAACCTGTGAATGTGTTTTATGAGAACCGTGGAGACATATGCCGTAGTCGTGAACGAAAAAAATAAAACTAAAAATAAACTCAGCTTCTTCTTTTTTTTGTTTATTCACAAACAAGTCTGAGAGTTGTCATTATACGATCTACAGCGTATCTGTAACACCTGAAACAGAATGAACTGCCATTTCATTGTGAGCTTAAACATTTATGTGACATTTAGAAGTGAGTAAAGACGATTGTAAGGAGTCATGAGCTTAATGCTCACGAGGAGCTCTTGTGCTGTCTGGAGGACCAAACGCCCTTAAGGAGCAGGTTTCCCACTGGATCCATCTGAACTCATTCCTGTACGTTTGCTGAGGCCTGAAATTAACTGCAGTCTAGAAAACAAAGGGTTTGGGAAGTAATATTTTAACTGTATTCACTGTAATTTCCAAAATGTTTTTGAACACGTCTGTCAGCGTGTAAATTTGACTGGAGGACTCAGAACCGCTCCACTTCCAGGCATTGAGATGCTCGTGACTGAACGTCACAGTTCAAAATCAGTGGTAGCATGTCTAAAAGGAGGACATCATGTGACGAGAACAAACACTCTGATATGACCAAGGACTGTCACAGTTTCAATCTGACCTCAAAGGGACCAGAGGGTTCGGAAAATCTCACCAATGTGCATTCTGACCTTCTTTTATTAAACAGTTATAATTCTTATCATTTATTATTCTTATGTACCTTCTCCTGTACCGTGGATATTTGTGATATTAGTTTCCTGCCATGCATGGAGTATAAACGATGCTGCAGCACCTGCAGCTGAGAGAAATGACCAATTGGACTAAACGAGATCATTTAGCTCTTTTAGGTTTCGCTGTCTGTGTGAATGCTTGTAGCTGCTGTGATAGTTGTAAAGATTAAACAAAAGGCAAAAGCAGAAGAGCAGTTACTCAGCAGCGCTCACTCTTTATACTTTATTCAAGCAGACAAGGATTTGGCTTTATTTCTACATATTTTATTGTCTGAACCTCACAGAGTAGTGAGAGGAGGTGATGAGTAAATGTCCTCAGACAGCTGCTGCTCTCTCCCCTCCTCTGTCTTTCTCCATCTCTTCAGCGCTGTCAGTCACTCTGCTGCCTCTTCAGCCTCTGCAGCCGCTGCTTGTTTCTCCCTTTGGTTGATTGTAACAGACTGACTGTTGTTGTCTCCTGAAGGGGGGCACACAGTACAGTTAACCTCCCGGGCCCCAGGAACCCAGGCCCTCCCTCACATCTCCCCCCTCCTTCACCAGCGGCGTGACACCTGAGGTTCGGCACGTCACTTGAAAAGGTGAGCCTCCTCTTGTGTCTTCATCCCTAAACCCCTCCCTCTCTGAAACCAGGAGATTCTCTCTTACAGGACGGACGGTGAAGCAACCACAGATGTTCCAGCGCCGGCGGCACACAGACGGTTATCAGTTCATAGGTACAGGGGTTATGTTATCAGGGGGCCTTCTTCTGGACCGGCTCTGATTCACTTCAGACTTCTTTACCGTAAACTGTAGACACAGACGACGATATCTGTGAAAGTTTAGATAAATGATAAATAGTTTCTGAGATTGGCTGTCTACTCACATTCAGCAGGTTGTGTTTGAATGACAATAGCTCAGAAACTATTAAAGATAAAAGCCTGAAGTTTAGCTTATTTCACTTAGTTTTATCTTTTAGCACTCATTAACAAAAACATTATTCATGCAGCAGTTAGCGCTTGTATTTATGAACTATATGTCCAGTCGTCCTCAGATGTGTCCATGGCCTCCCATTAAAGAAGGAAAAACAGCTTCAGTCACTGGAATCAGCTGAAACTGACCAAAGTAATAATAAATAAAAATGTAATGAACATCATGACGTGTTTGAAT